TCGGCGCTCACCATCGCCACCTCCATGGCGGCGGCCTCGGTGGCGGGGGAGCAGCAGGGAACGCCGGGCCGCCGCGCCGCTCACCCGCTAAGGTGGGTTGGCAGCCCTCGGCGGATCGCTGGGAAGACGGGGGATACTTTCAGTCCCACTGGGCATTTTCTGTTTTTAAACCAGCACGCCCCATGCTCCGTCTTCTCGGGGATGCTGCCTCGCTCTCCAGAGCGTGGCTGGTCGGATCCACAGCCCCGCGCTGGCAGCCTCAGTCCGAAGACGCGGGGCGGCTCCCGGGCGCCCGGGTTTGGGGGCGGATGTTCAGATATGGAGGCGCGGCTGGGATTCGGTTGTGGCCGGGATGGCGGTGCAGGATTCAAAGGCAGCGAGGGTCTGACAGCCAGCAGTGGTGCCTGGGAAAGGAAATGTGTTTCTCTGCCATGGAAACTGGCCAAGGCTCAGTCCATCAAATTTAAATAAAATGCAAATAGGCCTTTCGTCTTAGCACTGGCCTGCTGGCATCGGCTGGGCCCATGTTAAGGTATGGCTTGGGGTATGTCCGGCCATTGCTGCCCACGTCTGCAGGAGGAGACTCCAGTTTCTCCGCCTTGAGTCCATCAAAGGCTTCCTGGACCCAGGGGCAATGCCAAGCTACTACGGAAAGACGCAGAGACCCTGGGAGGTAGAAAAGGTGCTAGGTGAGGCGTTGGTGGAAGCAAAGCCAGCTCCGAGGCCTCCATAGACATCAGGGAAAGGCAGAGCATCCTTCGGCTAAAATCGTTCGGAAGAGGCTCTTCACCTGCAAAAGGATCGGAAACAAGCACAGGAGAAAAATAAAAAGAGGAATCAAACCGTAGAGAGCAAACCGAGCATTTCACTTCTCACACACTTCCTTCTCTCTTCTTCCAGCAAATCATATGACACGCCAAGTGCCCAGACATTTCCCAGAGTATGGGGCCGGCTATTCTTAAATCTGCTTCTTGCTAAACACACATCTCTCCTTCTTCTCCAGCTATTATTTCAGCTCAGTTTATTTTCAGGGCAACTCAATTATTCCCCCTGTCTCCACTCGTGGGCCACACGGCTCTTTCTTCTGTCTTCCCCCTCACCAGGGCCAGGTCTTAGGCCTCACTGTCTCTCTCTCTGATTCACAGCCATCATGCTGTGACTTCACTGTTGCTTCTATCATTCATTTACCTCAAGGCAATTGTTTAAATGCCCACTTGTAAAATGTTTCTGAGTGACTAGCCCTTCCTACCCTCTCCATCTTGGTCCAGGATTAGGGGAGTCAGAAAAAACAAACAACAAACAAAAACAGTTTTCTTTCATGCAGACTCCACCACTTGAATGAGTTTCCATCACCTCATCTACAATAACAGATAATAACCCGACCTCCCCTGTCCCATGACTGCATGGATTAAATGCGATCACGGGTGCTGATAGGCTAGCCCAGCGCCCTGTACACGAGGGATGGCAATCCACACTGGCAGTCACGAGTAACGCGGCAGTAACCTATGTTTATATGGTCTGTCCATCTGGCCCCAAATGGTTACGTCCTTGGCCACCATCTGAAGTAGAAAGACCCACATGAGGGTATCTAGGACATTCTGAGATTCGCCGATGGCCCGTGTTAAGTGGGCACTGCCTGGCCCCTGAGGCAGGTCCCTATTGTTTTTCTCCTAAGAGCTCATCCCAGATTCCACATTTCTAATCATCATCTTCTCTGCTTGTGGCTCCTCCGTGTTCACCTCAATGGTTTCTCCTACACTCTTCTCAAGGGACTATCCCCTTATTTTCTAAATCTCAGTTTGTGTGGACTTTGTTCTCAGTCTATCACACCCCACACCCCATCTAGACTTTAATCCGTCTCCCCCCCCCC